CAGCATACCTGCGCATCCACGCGGTGAAGGACCATGGGCTCCAGGCCCCGCGGGCTGACCGCATCCTGTGCAAGCTGTGCAGCGTGCACTGCAAGACCCCTGCCCAGCTGGCCGGCCACATGCAGACCCATCTAGGGGGGGCCACCCCCCCTGTCCCGGGAGATGCCCCCCAGCCACAGCCCACCTGCTGAGGGGGACCCCCGCACCCACCAGGCAAGGCGTGGGACATGGCTTGGGGGAGATGGTGTGTGTGGGACAAGGGGGCTCAAGGGGCCCAGTAGGGGATCTCAGGAAGGCCAGGGATGTCCATCTATCACTCAGGTTAGGGAGACTTCTGGGAACAGAGAGGGCCCTTCAGGAGAACTGGGTAAGGATGCAGGCCGAAGCCTCTGGGGACCAAACAGGAAGTGAGCAACGGCTGTGTCCCAGGGGAGGGAGTCTGGGGCCAGGGGCAAGGCTCTTGCCATTCAGATGGCGCTGTGATCTGATGTTTTTCACCATGCAGGTACCGGTGAGGTCTGTCCAATGGCAGCGGCGGCGGCGGCAGCGGCAGCGGCAGCAGCAGCTGCATCAGTGGCAGCCCCTCCCACAGCTGTGGGCTCCCTCTCTGGGGCCGAGGGGGTGCCTGTGAGCTCTCAGCCACTTCCCTCCCAGCCTTGGTGAACTCCTAGTTGGGGAGGGGGAGGGGGGAGAATGGAGGAAAGTCCCTTGGTATCCTTTCCCCCTCCTCTCTTCCCATCAACTCCTCACTGCTTCCCCCACCACCCAAGGAGCCTCCTGAAGGAAAGGCGGAAGAAATGTTTTCTTAGGGGAATTCACTAGGTTTTAACGATTTGTTTCTCCTGCTCCTCTTCTCCCTATCAGACCTGCCCCCACACACACCTGTCCCCTTGGTTGTGTTCAAGCCCCCTGGACAGTGGGCAGGGATGGCAGAGGACAGGAGCGGCCACTGCCTTCACCCCTCTCCTCTCTGTAACCCCCTGCCCTGCCCTTCCAGGGATTTGTGAGCCTCCTCCCTTGGTGGTCCTTGCGCTCCTTCCAGTCCCCCCCTACTGTCTGCTGCCCCTCCCTGGGGAGTTGGTGCTTTTTTTTTTTCCAGGGGGAGGGAGGAGAGAAAGGAGGGGAATCAAAGATTCTGTCCTAGAGAGGGGAAAGGTGAGATTTGAGAAGGGGCAGAAGCAGGGAAGGCAAAGGTTTGTGCCTTCGTAAGGCAGGGTTGTTTAGGGTCAGCCCTAAGCATACTCCTTAAGACTCTGTCAGGGGAGAACAAGTCAAGGGGAGCAAAAGGAGCTACTTGGGCCGGAGGCAGGACAAGAAATGGAACTTGAGGAGGCCAGGGTAAATGGGGAGGTCCAGGGACTAGAGGTGCTGCCTGGGGGTGGAGGAAGGCAGCTGCAGTGTCTCCCCCTTTCCTCTTCCACCCCAGCTCCAGCCCCGGCCTTTTCATCCCTCTCCCCCAAGATAGAAGCTGTGGCCCTGGCCATGTCATCGTGTTCCTGTGTTCCCTGCATGTTCCCTACCCTTCACCCCCTCCTCTTGGCGTGGATCCCATTACAATAAATTTTAAATAAAAACTTGGCTCTGGCTTGAATGAATTGCTCTCACCAAAGTCCCTGCCCGCCCCCCGCCCCCCCCCCCCCCCTCATGCCTTCCTCAGT